AAATAAATAAACAAATCTAAACTACTGAATTAAAACAATGCTGTGTTAACTAACTAGTTTAAACATTTTCTTTATCAGCTCTTTTCATTCTCATCTCCCTGGGGGATGTTTCTGTTTTAAAGCCACAAGTCACGCTCATTTCCTTGACTCTTTTTTTCCACAGTCGGATTCAAGGCACTGTGTGTAAACATTATTTACTAATCTATCATTCTACAAAAATATATTGCAATAAAAACAAAAAAGTATTTTTTTTTTTTTTAAATGGGGGAAACTAACGATGGCATGATAAACCATTGAAAACATTCCCTTGTGTCATTTACTCTAACACACATCCATAACATAACATGATTTGTTTTCCCAAAAGAGGCTCTCGTGGGTTTATAACATGTCCTTTTTCCTTTATGTGAGCTGCTGCATATGGTCTTGACCTGCTGCCGTCTCTTCCAGTGAGCAATGCAGAGCTGATATAAAACTCAGCCGCTGGACTTTAGCCAGGCAGACAGTTCTTGTACTCTTGCTACGTGCAGAGCGTGCAGCTGCACTGCTGTTCCAGCACTGAGACCCTGGCAGACTGACACCACACTGCATCATTAACAAACACGTCAAGGAGAAAGCAGTGACAAGACACATGTCCAAAACATAAATCAAACACATAAGCTTCTTCTGCTGATAAAAATAGGCCTAACTTGCAACTAACACACAAAAAACCCACATACACACATACAGTATAAACCAACCCTCATATGCACCAAATTTTTAAAAACAGGCTTCATTATAGTTCATAATGAAGTCTACAGGTGTTTTACACATCAGCTTTCCGCCTTCAAGTAACAACCTCGTAAGATCCCTGTTTGTGGCACGTAAGGTTTCCTGACATAAGGGAACAAAAACAAAAAAGCACGTAACCAGATGTCAATGCAGACGCAAAGAAATACTATATATCCTTCCCACTGAGGTGGGACTTTCCAAAGGGAATGAACTGCTCTAATGAATACGCTCAAAAACAGCCCATTCTGATTGAGTGCCAGCATATCTCTGGTCACGTAATCTAAACATGACCACTTGGCAATTCATTGTGTTGTATTGCACCACACATTCCTCACCCTGACTCCCAGAAGGTGGCCGAGCAGGTGGTGGTGGAGCCCCTGGGTCAACGACAGTCAAAAACAATTTTCTGATTTAATTCATAAATGGGCAGTTTGCTTACATACGGAAATAATTCTCTCTCGGCTAATGCTGGAAAGGTTTCTGCAGGTTTTACAAAGGTCAATTTAAGACTTTAAAGTAAAGAAAATCTAAGGACAAAATTAAAGGAAACTAAATATCAATATGTTCTCTAAATGTAATTGTCTAGTGAGCAGAAATGTGTTGTAAATACAACATTTAACAGATCTCCATTATTCTTCAATTCATTTTTACAAGGAAAGCTTAACTAGAATATGGAAGTAACTTTTGATCACTGCAAAAAAAAAGTGCTGTTCTTCCTCAGTATTTTTGTTTTGTTTTCCACTACAAATGTGTAAAGTTTCTTAAATAAAGATACACTGAGAAGCAAAATGACAAGATATGAAGTTGTTTTATCATTATTAAAACCATAACAAATATCTGCCAATGAAATTTCAGAAAAATTTGTTTTTAGCATATTCACTTATTTGTGTTCAGTTTCTCAGAAAACAAGCCTTTAACTTTCTTCATTTTGGATTTCAAGTAAATGTATATCTTGATTTAAGACTGTTTAGACAAAAGTACATTTAATGCCATGACTTTCTGAATTCGTTAAATTATTATTCAATGATTCATTAGAAAAATAACTGGCTCATAAGAGTCATTTTTGGGAATCAATCATCACTGGTTATGCTGTATGTTTTTTATTTACTAATAAAACAGACCAAAAAAGTATTTTGTTTGGGAATGGTTTCTATTGACAGTCTGATCATGTGCTAGTTGCACATGTTTTTGTTTCACTTAAAAAAAAAATGTTTTTAAAAAGTTTGTTTTTGTGTGAAAACAACTTCTGCCGTTATTCAGTGGTAAATAGTCTTTTTATATTGCATCAATACAGGCTACAAATGCACATTCACAACTTGGGTACTATATGCACTGATAAATGGTCGATTTTATTGCACCAATACAGACTACAAACGCACATTCACAACATAGTTATGCCATGACACTGAAGATTTAGAGAAGGACGCTGCTGCTGAAGACGTGCAAGAACCACGGACACAAGGAACAATACGACTTGGTACATTACGAAAATATTCATTAAAACATTAACATGGTGCAAAATATGCAACTATTTCAGTTTTCATTTATTTATTTTTCTACATAAATTTAAAAAAAATACAGGGTGATATGTAGCGAACTTACTAATTAAAATAACAGTATAGGGACCAATTCTCACTATTAGTTTCTTATTAGCATGCCTATTATTAACATATTAGCTGTTTATTAGTACTTAGAAAGCACATATTCTGCATGACCATATTCTACATCCCTAATCTTACCCAATACCTACATTTAACAACTACGTTACTAAGTATTAATAAGCAGCAAATTAGGAGTTGGAGGCAGAAGTCGTAGTTAATGGTTTTGTTAGCGAGAACTGAACCTTAAATAAAGTGTGACCCTAACTGTAAACTACTAACACGAGTTTAAGTAAATGATGGCAATGTTCATTTTGGGGTGAACTATCTTTTTAAGAGGAATTATAATATTTAAATTCCACGCAATTTTAATGTACCAAAAATATCCATCAAAATCAATGAAAACTACTCAAAAAAGCCACGTCCTGTTGTTTCACAATAAACATTATCTTTTGTTCCTGTTTCTCTACTCATCTCCGTCCCATCCGCCATCTCCGGCCTCACTGAAACCCAGATGTATATACTCTGCCTCTGATCCTCCAACATTTAACAACCACAAAGCTCGCTTATAGTTTAATATCAATACAAAACATAAACATATTATCCGTTCATTGTGTTTTATGTAACAGACTCTTTCCCTCCAGCCGATTCAATGTCACATGCCTGCTGAGCATCCTGAATTGCGTTGCTGTACATCTGCGACCATCACAATGACATTAAAAAATACGCAGTTACAGGAAGTGCTATCACCTCCCATCAAGCCTTCTGCTATTCACACTATAACCAATAAAATCCAAATGATCTACCATAGTGCGTGATCTAAAATGAGACATACAACTTATACATAATCTTACGTCACTCTTGCATAAACGTTGCAAATTTATTGTGTGCGTGTTTACAGTACGAGGGAAAAGGTGATCGTTTCCCTAAACCCTGAGAGGTTAGAAGTTTGTCCCAACATTGTGCGTGCGTTGGGTACGCCTGATAGCAGCTGGTGGTCGCAGGCGTTTCCCTGACCTGGGGAAATATGAGAGCCATGCTGGTTGAGGATAACTCACAAAGGCACTATCAGTAACATAGTCGGTGGCTCCACAGGAAGATCCTGTTTAAAAAAAACGGTCAGACTGACATTATTTGTCAGTGTAGAATTTTCAAGAACAATTGAAAGTGGGGGAGAGACCTGATGGGTGCATATATCCAAGGTATTTCATCTAGTTTAGTTTAGTCCAGAACTTGTATTGTAGGAGGTTTTTAGAGTTGCTACAAATGCAGTAAAGAAGGTCGTGTGAGAAACTTGTGATTTCAGATGAACTCACACCGGCATGATCAGGAGATATTCTATAGAGGCTGTTCATTAAAGCCCTCAATGACAAAAACAGTGACAAACTTAAACTGTATCTGTATCAGAGAAGAGTGAACATGCATGCTTTCATTTTTAATATAATGTCTGAATAATATTTCCTAAGATTCACCTTCTATTGAAAGACAGGTGCGGACATGTCTCTGCATCAAAGGTGAGTCCTCTTCCCATCTAAACTGACACAGATATGAGTTTAAAACCTATCCCATCCGAGATGTGTTAACTGGCCCTTTCACCTGTTCCCCCAACCTTATGTTCCCATGCCTGTTGTCCAATGATTTTTCCATTCCTTTTCCACAAGATTATGGGATAAGAAAATTATAATTTCATAGCTGAGTGCACTGTTTTCATTGCACTCACAAAAAGCAGTTACTATCAGATTAAATATTTCAGAGATCAGTAAGGAGGACGTGACGTGTGGCCAAGTATGGTGTCCAATACTTGGAATTTGTGCTCTGCATTTAACCCATCCAAGTGCACACACACAACCGGAGCAGTGTGCAGCCAATGCTGCAGCGCCCGGGAAGCAGTTGTGGGGTTCAGTGCCTTGCTCAAGGGTCTCACCTCAGTCGTAGTATTAAGAGTGAAGAGAGCGCTGGATATTCACTCCCCCCACCTACAATCCCTGCCGGACCTGAGACTCAAACCCACGACCTTCGGGTTACAAGTCCGACACTCTATTCATTAGGCCAGGACTGCCCCCATAAACTGTTTTCCCTATAAAATCTCCATGACTTTCTAGGCCTTTAAAATTCTAACACATCTAGGTTTCCCTTTCCTAGATAATGTTTTTATAAATGAAAGGTGCATTTAGTACGATTAAGCTGCCTCTTACTCATCTCACAAGTACAAGTAGTTTTGGACTCTATTCTGACACATCGTCATGACGTTTGTTCACTAACTACTGCTAATTCACAACAAAAAGCTTACTTTTTGTATTATTGCTTTTCATCTCATCCTACACATATTTGTAAGATGTAAAATTTTGCCAGTTTTGCATGTTATTTGTGCAGCTGGTTACCTGCAGCGCCTGCGTGGGTGGTCATGTGACATCAACATGGCGGTGCCCATGAGGGGGCGACCCGCATGAAACTTTTCAACGTGGGATGGTAACAGTAGGCATATTAATATTGATAATGAAAGCTCTACATGATTGGTCAGAGTGATATTTCTCAAAATCGCTCATTTGTTTATGCATGCAACTTTTTTAATTAGCACAAAACTACTGAGTGCACCAGGCATCATAACTGTCCTATAATGTCAGCTGTACTTACTTTCGTTCTTCCATTGATCCTGTAATTGCCCAGTTTACCGTTACAGTGTCGCATCACATCATCCATGCGGCTCATGAGAAACGCTATTCTCTCACAGCCGGGCTCCTTCCCCTCCACCCAGGTGATCTTATCCCCCCGAATGTCCTTAGACGAGTCGCTCCTCTGACTGACCAGCTGTCCGTCGGTAAAGCCGCCAGTCAGGTAAAGCGCCCGCACGTCCTCCAGAATACTCCGTCCAAACTCCTCGCCTAAGAAGTCGTCGATGACACAGATGCCGTGCTTGTTCATGCAGGGCACGATATAGTCCGTGGCCAGTTTCTGAGGAGGCGAGCGCGTCTGTCCGTTGGGTTTCACACTGTCTGCGCTCGGTTTGGTTTCAGAGTGCGTGGCGGACTTGATAAAATCTGACATTCTTTCGCCGGGTGACGTAACGGTAGAGTTATTACTCTGAGAAGTATTGGACGGTTCTGAAGTGTTGTACTGTACGGGGCTGCGCTCTTCAGCCGGTGGCGTCTGCTGCTGCTGCTTGTCGGCCTCCTTGCACACCCGCTTGTGCTTCTTCCAGTCCTGTCTCTGGTGCTCTTTGCTGCAGTAGAACGAGCTGCGACACCGTCCGCACTTCATGAGGTTCTCCATTTCCCCACACAGCTCGCAGTACTGGCGCTCTCGCTCCAGACGCTCGCTTTCCCTTGAGTTTCCCTCCATGTTTCAGCGCTGTGTTACAGTATCAGCCTGCAATTTCGCCACAAGTATCCACTAGCGAAATTGAAAGAAACGCTGCCCCTGGGCCTCCGCTGCCGTTTTCATTCCAGTTGACGGAGGGCAACGTGACGCTCTCACATTCCCGAGACATCTATGTGTTGACACTTGTGAAGTCTCAGCGCGAGCTTTGAGTGTGATGGAAGCGCATGGCGCCGGCCGATCATTTTCTTCAGCGATCAGCGCACGTCAACCATGTGCGCATGCGCACTAGATGCAGGCTAGAGAGGGCATGATTCACATGTGCTTCTCACAACTTTGTGTGGGCGGAGTGAAAATGAATACAAATAATAACAATGATAATAAAGATCGCACAAAAAACCTTAATGGGCAGAAATACTGCATCTGTGTATTAGAAAAAAACACACAAATAAATAAATAAAAATTCCAAAATACATAGTAGCAAGGTCAAGAAGTAAATAAACTATGTATTATTGTATTATGGGCAGAATTAGTTGCAGAGTAGTGAGACAGGAAAACAGAAAAATAAAAAAGCAAACAAGCGAGCTAATAGTTTATATTTTATTCATATATGATAAATATATAAATCAATTATTTAAATTAATATAAATAAAAAAGATAAATACATAAATATAAATTATTTATATAAATATTTTTACATATAATAGATATATTTGCTGTAGCAAATTTCATACATAAAGGCAATTCAAAGTGTTGTATATGAAAATAACAGCATATAAGTCTACTTTTAAATCATTTAATAACATAAACATGGGGGGGGGGAGTAATGTAAGTTTTATGTAAAAATGAAAATTGGAAAAAAAGAAAAAGAAAACTACCAGGACTACTACACTTTTCAGTCTTTCTGAAACTGTTGTGTATTTGGTTATATGGTTTCAATCAAATAAAAACTCTACAGTGTATCTCTAAATATTATATCACTCTGTGTTTCTTTACTCATTGATGTCATATCATAAAGCAAAGACCAAACAAAATCTTGGTTTGTATCCCAATCATGTAGCGTAAGTATGCAGAGCTATTTCCATTACCCAATTAATCTTGTTCTTATGGGAGCAATAAAGATTAGCTTTGCACTGTAAAAGATAAAGCTGAAATGATACTCGGCTTCCTCGGTGCCATGTCAATTATTATTATAAAATGTTTTCATCCTTTGGATCTTGGATTGGTTTATACAGACCATTTGATTTAGTGCACAAAAGTTTTGCTTTTGATTTTATGTAGCACTTACACAGTTACATAAAATATATGCCAAAATATGCTGCTTATGTAATGGGAAACGTGTAAACGTGATGATGACAGTTCCCTTACCTCAATTACAGGCAGAAAAAACACTTTGTAGTGTCGTCACACTTTTACGTGGAGCATTTGGATGATGCTCAAGTCTTTTATGTTTGAGAATCTCTTGTCCTCGCTGGGTTTGGGGGTGAAGTGATGGCCATGACTTTGTCTGTCTAGTTTTGGCATGGCTGGTCTTTGGAGTGCAATTTATCACAGAGGGCTTTGTTGGCCTAACTGGCCCTCCGAGCTCTGATACGCACACAGGACATGTTTATTTACAGTCTCAGTGTGCATGTTTGTGTTTATCTCTCTCTGTGTCTGGGTAGTTACACAGACTGCATCTCAGACCCTGGATACTTCAGTAATACAGAGCTCAGGGTGGACACACATCCAGGACTGGTCCTCATCGCTGTCCCTATGGAGGGCTATCCCAAGCCTGAGGCCATTGCCCCCTCCTCCCTCTCTCTTGCTGTACCTCAGGAGGACAGGGTAAGAGAGAGCAGAACACAGGCTATGTGTTCATCTGCAGTCTTGCAAAAAAAAAAAAAAAAAGGAGAAAAAGCAGTTTTGTTTGCTATCATAATTGCATACAGTATAACTGTGCCAAAACATAAATGTACAATAACTTGTGCCTGTTTACAGCAGTATACATGATGTGTGACAGCATATTATAAAACAGATGATTTATGCTTTATTTCTTTTATTCTCATCCTTACAAGTAAATCAACTGATTACTATTTTCCAGTACTGTTAAAAAATTTGTGGTCAGTAAAACAAAACAAAACAAACAAACAAACCTGTACATTTTAACAAAAAAAAAAAAATATTTCAAATAAATGATAAATAACTTTGTTCCATCAATAAATCCTGGAAAAATGTATCATGATTCCCACAAAAGTATTAAGCAGCATAGCTGCTTTTAACATTGATATTAGTAATTATAAATGTTTATTGAACACCGAATCAGCATATTAGAATGCTAACTTTTAAACGGTAGTGTATATTTGTGTTTTTGAAATAAACTGAAACTTCACCAAGATAGCATTTAAAAGTATTATAATTCCAGTACATCACTGCATTAATGCTGCAAAATATTATTACTTTTCATTATTCGTTTCATAATTCAATCTACTATTTTTAGCAGCCATGATTTAATTTTCTCTTGTGTAAAGTCATGCAAAAGCAATCATTCTATTGAGCTGCTAGTTTGCTGCAGAATTTTTTTTATTTTTATCTCAACACAGTGACAAATGGTTGTGCTACTTATATTTATAATATATCATGAAAGCAAACTGGACTTAACCAGGACAGAAAGAGAAGTGAAAGCCACAGATACAGCTGGCAGATTCACTGAACAGGTCATAGCAAACACCAATTACAAGATGCAAGAGTTTCAAATACAAAGGTATCTGACAACAGAACAATGGCCAAAAAATAAAACTAATGTTGAGGCACTGAGAAGCACCCTGCAAGCCAATAACATTTATGAGACATGCTACAGAAAGCATGGAATGAAACTTCACCTGATTATTTAATAACCTGCCTTAAATGCCAAGGGTCTGCAAAACTACAGATTTAACATTATTTGATGAACAATGTGTTTATAATAGAACATGTTGTAATTTTTGGTTAATTGAATACAACCTTGGTAAATAAATGTATTAACGTACTAAAGTGTTTCCAAACTACTAAATGGTATAGCTATGTTTATTTTATTACGTGAAATAAGCACCTCTTGTGAAAACACTTTTTTATATGTTGTTTATGTAAAGGAAAGTATACAGTATGTTTTATCAGATTGACAATCTAACTGCGTGTCACCGTATAAACCTTTTCCTGCCAAACATCTCGGTGAGGTGGAGCGCTGGAGTTTAATCTTCAGTAAACAGGTTAACCTCTGCACACCTTGACCCATATAAGCAAAACCAGCACCCTTGATCTATTGTCTTGAAAACAATAGTGGTGTTGACCTGAGATTGCCCTATATTCACATTGTCTCTTTTACCAGTTTTGACTCAACTGCAATGTGGGATGTTTTTTCTGCTTCTGAACGACTTGTTTTTTGAAGTTTAGACCAGTTCCCAGACTAGACTTAGACTTAGACTTCTTAGACTTCCCAGTTCCATTAGTCAAAGATCAACAGCTGGTGAAAAACAGGGCCAAAGTCTTTCTTCCCCAAGACAAAGTTTTTATATTCTTGGCTGTTGCACAAAACAATGCGATTAGGGAAGGAGAGGCCAGGTGTGCTGTTTAACACACTCTCTCTCTCTCTCTCTCTCTCTCTCTCTCTCTCTCTCGCTCTCTTTGTTATATCTCCTGTTCTGTGTGTTAATTGCAAGTAATCCAAGGTTATTGATTTAACTTTCATGTTTATTTTTATTTGTTAGTCCTGAGTTTGATGCATTATATTTGATGACAGCTAGGCCTGTTTAATAGCCTACATTAAAAATTCTTTGTCATACCGAAGTTAACAAAAATGTACTTGAAAATCAGACATTATTTTTTAAAATATTTTTTACGTACTGCTTATGGGCACCACACAAAACTGAACTGGACTTTTTTTCATTTATTATTTTACACAATAACTGGCATTGTTGAGAGATGTATTGGCCTTAATAATCTGAGTGAATTGTAACTGAACTACAGTACCATTCAAAACTTAGTGGTCAATAAAATTATTAAATGTGTTTGAAATAAGTCTATGTCTAATAAGTTATGCTCACTGCATTTATTATTTTGTTTTGTGATAATTTTGTTTCCTTTGGTAAATAGAAAGCTCAAAACAGCATTTTTTAAATTTGATTTATTTATTTTTTTGTAACAATTTAAGTTTTGATCAACTTAATGCATGATTGCTGAATGAAAGCGCTAATTTCTTTCTCTCTCTTTCTTTCTTTCTTTCTTTCTTTTTTAAATTTTCCGGACCCTAAATTTTAGTTTGTATTTGTATTTATGGTATCAGTGAAATAAAATGACCAATATGGCATAGGCACATAGAAATAAAAAACGGTATCTTTTTAAAATGAACTATTGCAAATCCATACACTTATGGAGAGAAACGGATCCTTTGTTCCTTTAAACTGGACTGAGAATACAAGTTCGTTTTTGAATGAATCTCTCGGAATACACTTGATTTGTGTCTTTCTCCACTAGAGGTCACTGCACACCAAACTATCATAAAGCCTTTGCAACAATCTGCCGTCCATTATGTTGTGCATCATCTTTGAAAGGGCACACTTTTTTTGTGCCTGTGTCTCTTTACAACATGAGTGGCATGTTCTGTCAGTACAATACTAAACACTGCACATTGCTACAGCAACCGATTTTAGTCATGTTAGATGCCATATTCAATTTTACATGAATGAAATCAAGGCTGTGAGGGATGGATGCACAGAAAAATTAAAATACAGAGTCTACTCATCCAAGATGCATGAGGTTTTTTTTTTCTTCATCAGAACAGAGTTGGAGAAATGTAGCATTACATCACTTGCTCACCAATGGATCCATTGCAGTGAATGGGTGCCGTCAGAATGAGTCCAAACAGCTGATAAAAAACATCACACAACTCCAATCCATCAGTTAACATATTGTGCAGCGAAAAGCTGCATGTTTGTTACAAAATCAATGTAACACTTTATCCTTTCTCACTAATAGGTATTGGTATAAAATCTAAGACCAGACACCAGGATGGAAAAGCAAAAGCATCTCCCTTAATCTGCAGGGGTCTAAACAGTTAATGGTTCAATTCACAGCTCACAGACAGAAGCCTAACCGCTCTGACCGTTTGATATGGAATCAGTAAATTAAGTTCATGCCTCAGAAAATTTGCAGTTTATTCACACTGACGATTCAAATGTTATTACAGTGGCCGCTGCACTTTACAAGTATAGACCTGTGATTGTGGATGTCATAAACACCCCGGCTACCAACAGCAGAAGAGCTCCATTTCTACAGT